TCCAACCTGAGGGAACTTGGGTTTTGGCCTCACGATCCTTGTGCTAAAGTGTTCCACAGGGCACTATCTTATGACCACGCGAGTCATCTAGTCCAATCCCTGCAACACAGGAATCTCAACACATGGTCTCCCATCCAATTTGAAACCATACCAGACCCTGCTTAGCTTTTCAAAGGTACTAACAGTTTGATGGTTGTTTTTTAAAAGAGAAGAAGGCATTTTAAGTTCAGCTTTCCTGATCATCTTTTAACTCACTGTATGCAGCATCGCTTGTGTATCCCTCCTGTACCTATTTGCACACCGCTTTAAAAGGAGAGAAATTATAATAAACAAACAATAAAATAGAGTAAGCTTTGGCCTTCCCTGCACCAGGCTGGGGACTCTCCCCGTTAAAACTACAGCAAGGCCCAAGTTACACACATTTTACATGTGCACATTCAGCTTTATGCACATGGCAAAAGAAATAAATTAAATTAAATTAAAAGGGGGCAGAATTCTGGGGAAAATGACGCTGGCAATCCCTGCCCCGCTCCCCCCACCATTGGATTCAATGGGTTTTGACTATATGCGATTGTGGTTTTGGCGCAATCCACAGAACATAACCCCCACGCAGGGACGCGGACTTATAAAAAATATTGGGGGGGCCCGGGAAAGCTCATGAATAATAAATAAGCTCATGAATATGCAAATAAAGTGGCGCCGCCTCCTCGTGAGCGAATAGGGGAGAGCGTGCTGCGCCTATTAATCAGCTCCAAAGGAAATTGGGTGGAGCTTTTGCTCGGGAGGGAGGGCAGGAGGCATGCAGCCCGCCCCTCCCTGTGCATTTTGGGCTGGGGGAGGGGCGGCGATGGCGCTCTGCTGGAGGGGCGCCGGAGATTATTGGGGGGGCAGAGCCCCCCCAAACGAATTTTTGAGGGGGCTCGGGCCCCCTCAAGCCCCATGGAGTCGGCGCCTATGCCCCCACGTAATTTGCAGGCTTACTGTATGCAACAATTGTCCCTAAGCAAATCTGTTTTTCTTTTTTTTAAATACTTTTTATTAAGTTTTCAAAATCAAAATCAAATAAGAACATAAGTCAAATTTCCAAAAACAAAGTCCAATTAAACATAAACTCTTGCATCTAGCATCTTAGTGTTTTCTTATTTACACTGCGCTTTGTCACGCTCAGACTTCCTTCCTTCCCTGCTTTAGCTTTCGCAAATTAACACCTACTCCTACAGATTCTTATTTACCCTCCACCCACATCACAAGATTTAAGTTAATCCTGCTACAGTTTTTAAACCTCTACAATTATTCCGTATATACACAACAAATTTATTCCACTCCTCTTCAAACTTTGTTACTTTTTGATGTCTAATCTTATTAGTCATTTTCGCCAACTCCGCATATTCAAACATCTTCACTTGCCACTCCACTAACATTGGGATCTCCTGGGATTTCCATTTCTGGGCCACGAGAGTCGCAGCATACATAAATAACTTACAATCCTCTTTTTTTACTTCATCTCCTATTATCCCTAGCAGGAAAACCTCTGGTTTCTTTGGGAATGTATATTTAAACAGTTTTTTCATTTCGTTATAAATCAGGTCCCAAAAGTTTTTCATTTTTTCGCAAGTCCACCACATGTGGAAGAGTTCACCATCTTGCACATCACAGAATCATAGAATTGTAGAGCTGGAAGAGACCCTGAGGACCATCTAGTCCAACCCCCTACAATTCAGGAATATGCATACGGGGATCGAACCTGCAACCTTGGTGTTATCAGCACTACGCTCTAACCAACTGAGCTGTCCAGACTGTCTCTAATCAAACCACTTTTTAAAAAATGCGTAAAGACTCCAGATGACAATTACCGTATTTTTTGCTCTATAAGACTCACTTTTTCCCTCCTAAAAAGTAAGGGGAAATGTGTGTGCGTCTTATGGAGCGAATGCAGGCTGCGCAGCTATCCCAGAAGCCAGAACAGCAAGAGGGATCGCTGTTTTCACTGCACAGCGATCCCTCTTGCTGTTCTGGCTTCTGAGATTCAGAATATTTTTTTTCTTGTTTTCCTCCTCCAAAAACTAGGTGCGTCTTATGGTCTGGTGCATCTTATAGAGCGAAAAATACGGTACATATAAGAAACTGGGGTGTGCAACTCAACGACCTAAAATCATACACACTACCTTGGGGAGGGGAGAGGAGAATGGCCTTTGCAAGCTGCATCTAAGGCAACACTATGCTGCTTGGGAGCTAGACAAACATGGTGCCCCCATGCCAATAATACTCCATGTAAGTACAGTGGTACCTCGGGTTAAGAACTTAATTCGTTCTGGAGGTCCGTTCTTAACCTGAAACTGTTCTTAACCTGAAGCACACTTTAGCTAATGGGGCCTCCTGCTGCTGCTGTGCCGCTGGAGCACGATTTCTGTTCTCCTCCTGAAGCAAAGTTCTTAACCCGAGGTACTATTTCTGGGTTAGCGGAGTCTGTAACCTGAAGCATCTGTAAGCTGAAGCACCTGTAACCCGAGGTACCACTGTAGAAACAAATTAGGACCCAGAGTTTACATGCACAAACATCACTGGGCCCCAGGAGGAGCACAGTTTCACATCCAGCCCCTAACGGTTTGCGGAAGAAGGAGAGAGGGAGAGGAGAAAGGAAGATGAGGAACCCGCCCTGGAGGATATCAAACCAGGGATGGGGACCCTGTTCAGAGAGCCACATGCCACTGGTGGGCAGGGCCAGAGACAAAAGAAAGTGGCATAATGGACGGAACTCTTAACTCTGTTGAAGCAGGCTACAGTCCTCCAGCCACACACAGTCAGAGGTTTTCAGCATCACCGATCCTACGTACACACAAATCCAGTGAGAAATGTGACCTAGAGAGAGGGAGGCACAGGGAGTCCTGTTGGCCAGAGAGGTCTGAGGTTCCTCACCCCTCCTTTAGGCAGAGATGCAGGAAGCAGCAGGCCTCCTCTAATGCCATCACAGAAAGAAGCGCTGCCTGCTTTCTAACCACCAACACCTCTCAGGTAGATTTGCTTCATTCCTGAATGGCATCCAGTCTTATCTTTTTACAACGAACAATTAAACTGGAATGCTAGCTGCTCAAGAACACCAACACAAAGGACTTTATCCATTAATTATATGGATATAGTTTAGCCTAGGTCTTCTGCCCCCACTGAGCCTTCCAGGAAGCAAATATCTCTCTTTTTAATCTATTGCCTGAAGCAGAATTAGAAAATAGCCTGAAAAGTAACATTATTTTAATAACTCTCGAGGCTGCGTGACTTCTGAGGCCCATTTCAGAATGCTATCTAGGTGGCACCTATGATATGTATTCCTATTGACCCACTTGATCCACTAGATTCCACACTCACCCACCCACCCACCCCTACATGCCTGGTATTCTGGGTTCTATTGAGTGACAGCTGTCCACCAAAACTGGCATGGCTAGTGCTGTTGTTTAGGCGTCAAGCCATTGCTCAGTCTTTCTCTATCTCATATGCATGAGGTGCACATTTGCTGGTTTCCTTACTTAAGACTTTCTACTTATAGGTTTAGGGAAAAGGTGTGAAGTGATAAAGATGTACAAGTGTATGGCAGCCAGCCACAAAAATGTGCTTTCTGTGGTATCAGGAAGTGCCTTTTAAAATTAGGTATTTCACTGCCTGCCACTACAGCCCATGGAAATGTCTCACTCAGTTAAACAAGACTTTGCTTAACACAAGCAAGCACCAAACATAGTAGACAGGCAGACCAGTTTACCATAATTAAGAACAAAAAGTCAACCAGTGGAAAAGTAATGTTGGGAGGCTGATTTTAATCATGAAAATGACCTGTGGGAAAATGATTAAGAATCAACCTTCTGGTTTAAATTTGCAGGCTCTTGCGGCAGATTTTCATTTTTCTCTTATTAAAAGAAAAGTTTGGCCCTTTAATTTCCTCCAAGTGGCAGGACAAGGAAACATTTGCAAACTTTAAAAAGAGGGAGGGAGTTTTCTTTTTCCCCTGCCTCCCCTATAGCTCAACAGAAATGGCACAAATAACTAGCAGAGGAGGAATATAAAATCAGGTGAGCTAGTAAACATATTTGTCAGCTAGTAATTTTTATGGAGTTATAGGTGAGGCTACATGATCTGACATGGAATAAAAGGGTGTGATCCTTTGAAGATACTTTGGCCTCCCGAAATTGCTTTTCCACCCACGAAAGAAAGCATGTTTGCTAAAATTAAAATGATTACAACATTGGAGGAGGGGTGTGTGTACAAGAGGAGCCAAGTGAGGAAGGGAAACAAAGGCATCCACCCCCCACACAAAAAAAGTTTTTACTGGCCTTCACGTTATTTTTGACAGAGGAAAGGATTAGCTAACATAAGTTTCTCAGAGGCCTCACTTCCAGGCACAGCCCATGCCCAAACCTACCTAAGAGATTGTTGTTATTATTATTATTATTATATTTTTTACTCCGCCCTATACTTGTAGGTCTTAGGGCGGTTACAGCATAAAATCACAATATGAAAAACAGAGACGGCTGCTGCATGTGACCTCAGAGGATTCAAGACCTCCTTACCTTCTAGAAAGTTGAACATGACAGACACTGTTTCTCATCTGGTGGAACGACTTGGGAGTGTGTGTGTGTGTATGTACAAAGTGGCACAAGAAAAATCCTATTTGTCATTTAGGTTTTGGAAGCAAGCAATTATCTCTGGCCCCACCATCTCATTACAGTAGCAAGCCAAGCAAAAGCAGCAGAGGCATGAATCGATGCCTGCTGGAGGGGACGGCCACTCGCCTGCTTGCCATTTCCTCCCCAAAGTCCCCCTCCAATCTCCATTGTGCCAACGGATCATTGATCAAACCCCAGCCTCGGTATCTGCACAGGCTTGTCTATAAATAGAACCCTATGTAGTGGGTGCCCTCAGGAAGTGGCGGCCAGCTGTACACAGACAGGCGTACATAAACCTTGACATCCCACCCGACCCCCCACAGAGACCACCTTCCACCAGCTATTACATACCTGTTCCACCAGCAAGTCTCATTGGGCTCCTCCGGAGGGGTCAGGCTGCCAACTCTGGGGAAATTAAAAAAAACAAACCCGCACCTCAGGTTGGATCGGGACCCTGGGCCTTTGGTCCTTTCAGAAGAAGGCACCCCTAGCCCACACAGCTACTCCCACTAGGCTCCGCTGCTCCCTCAGGGAACCCACAACTCACCCCCACTAACCCATAACCCCCCCAGTGCCTTCCTCCCCCCCCCCCAGTTTCTGCTACTACAGACCCGGGTTGGTCTGGCCTCCCCAGCAGCCCCCAGAAAGAAGCCCTGTCTTGCCAGCAGCGCCCACTAGGCCCGGGGTGGGGGTTGGGAGGGCTCACCTTGCTGCCTCTCTGGGGTGACCCCCCGGCCAAGAGTAACCCGGCCCAATTCCGGGGCTGAGCCATGCGCCGAAGCTCAGGGCTGGGGAGCAGGACCCCCCTGGCGACGGCCAGCCTTTCGGGGGTCCCCAGCGGCCCCCCAGCTCCTCCTCTTCCTCTCCATCCTCTCCGTTCTCTCCTCCTTCCCCAGCCGTTCCTTTCTCGCTCCTCCGGGTCCTTGCCCCTGGCGGCCCCCTGCTCCTCTACCCACTAGTCCGCCTGTCCTCTCCCGCCTGCCCGCCAGCCTCCAGCATCTCCCCTCCTCGTCGCCGCCCAGCTGGCCATGCCGGCTCCGGCCGTGCAAGGATTTTCCCGAAATGCCCCGCGCCGCTTTATTGATGCTGATGCTGCTGGAGGTGGTCGGGGCTTCCGGAGCCCCCGCCTTGAAATCTTTGGTTCCGGAGGCGCCGCCCGCTGACCCCGCTTTTCTTTTTGAGCCGGATAAGGTTTCCCCAACCCCAGATTTCCAGTCGCCTTCCCCCCCCACCCCTCCCCTCCACAATAGCCTCAAGTCTCCCTGTTTCACTACCCACGAGAGCTCCAGTTTTCTGAACCTCGTTTCATTTCACTTTTCATTGCCTCCTTGTTCATGGAAGCAGGAGTTGCAAAATGAGTAGAAAATGTTAGTGTGTGGTGTGTGTGGGTTCGTTTGTTTTTTAATAATAATTTTAATTTGTTTGTATTTTGTGAACCGCTCTGGAATGAGTCAGATCATGCCTAAGGCCTGAATTTCACTCCCCCGAGAATCCCAACCCAACCTGGTTTCCCAGTCCTCCCAGGCACTTGTCCTCTCTTCATTCTTTGTCCTGCTACCCCTTTTCTCTTTTTGTCCTTCCTTCTTTCTTCTTGACACTCCAGTTCTCTCACAGCCTTCCTCCCCCTCTTATACAAACAGAGAGAGAGAGAGAGAGTTGCTGAAGTTTGTGGAGAAGAGACAGGTCACTTTTAGTAGACGTCTGAGGTGATTTCTTGCAAAGGATTCCCTTCCCTTCTTGCACCCCGCTCCCACCCCCACCCTGGCTTTTGGGGTCCCTCCACCCCCACCATCCACTTGAAATTAAGCCAAAGAAGGCCACAGGCAGACCTTTGGGTGCAGGTTGCCCACCCCTGCTCAAAGAAAACAGGAGACCTCATACACATTGACACGTGCACCTCTAGCTCAAGGTTCATCAACCTCGTGCCCTCCAAATGTTGGACTACAACTCCCATCATCCCTAGCCATTGACTGATGGGATATGGAGTGCAGCAGCATCTGGAGCCCACTGCATTGGCTAGCCCTGGTCTTGATTAATTACCATCTCCACCTTCCCAAGAAACCAGCAGATGTGGCTCACAGTTCCATTGATCTAAGCCACCTCTCTTCTTTAGGGGGAGATGGGGCATCTTAGTATTTTCTCATTCTTTGCATCCCTTTAATATATATTTTTTCCAGTGGTTACAATGGCCAACCTGGACTGGAGATACCCAGGTCCAAATCCCCACTCATCAATGAAGCGCACTGGGCAATGTTGGGCCACCCTAACCTACCTCACAGGATCGTTGTGAAGAGATAAAAGGTGGAGGCACAAACCATGTATTAATTTGCAAATAAATGGTAATGGTGTGTGGGATATAGCCATTGATGATAAATTAACATGTGCCATTAAGGTAAGACAGGGAATATGCAGGAGAAATGATTTTGAGGAGATATGGAAGGTGTTTGTAGAATTTGTCCTGTTAAAACGGAAAGGGGCCAAACCATCGCAGGTGGTGTTGAAATTTTGGGAGGTTGGATAGTTACAATGGAATGGTCTTGGGGGTGGGGTGCACATTTTAATTCTTATTTATTTATGACTCTTAGTCATAATAATAATAATAATAATAATAATAGATGGGTGGGTGGGTGGGTGGGTGGTAATGGCAACCTGGGCAGAAAAATACAGAAGCTCCAGCTGCTTATAGCTCTCAGTGATCAACACAATGACAGCACAGATTATGCTCAGGTTATCTTCAACCAACCAATGGGTTTTTTAGGTGAGTGAAAAACTTTGTAACCCCCTTCTTTGGGAACAACAGGCATCTCAGAGCATCTCAGAGGTCCCAAGAGCCAAAGCAGAGTGCTCAGGAGCCCATGCCATTCTGTAGTTGTTCAGAACAACCAAGGCTTGTGAAAGGATCTCACCAGCTTCATCCACACTTCCTAGTTCCACCTAGGCACAAACTGGACTACATTGGTGCCTGCAGGAAGTGCAACAGGGCAGTACCAGGAAGCCTGGCATCTGTGAGAGAGGTGTGCCGTTTAATTAACACCAGAGGGCGGCAGGAGGCGGGGGCAAATTTGCATCCATTCCCAACCACTCATTTCGCCTAGCACACATGGCAACCTCACCCGAGCCAAAGCACCAAATAACACCACAAACAATTCCAGGTGGATAAATCTCTTTACTTGAAAACTCCTCTTGATGCAACTCCAGATGCATAAAAGAAGCACAGAATCCCAGAAGCCAGGAATCCCGCCACCCTGCCTGCAATGTCACATAGCCGGTGAAGTCCATTTGTATTTTGCAGAGGAGCTATTCCGCAACACTGAGATGTTCCGGTGTTCTTTTCCAGGGGGACCGCATGACCACTTTCCCATCCTCTTCCTTGGCTTCTATAGCATCCTCCTCCTGCGTTCTGGCAAAGAGCTGCTGCCCCGTTGGAGAGGGGGCTCTTAGCTTGACTGCCGCTGAACACACAACTCCATTGAACACCCTGTGAGCCGTAGCAGCTATCTGCTCTGCAGCCTTGCATTCCTATGAAGCTTTGCCTAGGCACCAGTGGCCCAAATCTTGAACTGGGATGGAGGGCACTAAAATGCTGGAGACAGAAGAAGACCCACAACCATCCCATGATGGTGGCCATGCTTGTAGTTGCCCATTGCCTCTGAGCACTCGGGGCCACTGAGTGTGTTCTCTTGATCCTTGCGGCTTCCCAGAGCCTGGTTCAGTTAGTGCCCGTCTCTCCCCTCGTCAGCATGGTGTCTCTTAAGTGGGAGTGGGCAAGCCATGCCCAGCCGCCCGGCGTCTCCTGCGCCCATAGCCCATGGGATCGGCTGTGTCCTTGTTGTTCTTGCGGGATTCGTCCTTCTGGTTGTTGCCCCCGTAACGGTACAGCAGGTTGGCGAGGTTCTGCACCTGGCAGGTGCCAAGCTGGCATCCGCGCATGGAAGGCAAGGCCAGTAGGTGCCGGGGGACACGGTGTCCAGGAGCGGAGCTGTGGGTGGGGAAAAGAAGTGTGAGGAACACTAGGGTCTTGTAGAGGACCTATATAGGGTCTGGAGCAGGAGGAATGATCTGCTGAATGGGAGCAAAAGGCACAGCCAGTGATGGGGGATGATGTGAATTATAGTCCAGCAATATCTGGAGAACCACAGGCTCCCTATCCATGCTATACTAGAGCTGAGGCTTTGAATCATAGAGTTGGAAGGGTACCCCGAGGGTCATCTAGTCCAACCCCCTGCAATGCAGGAATCCTGCCCACAGCAGTCACTGGGTGGGCTCGAACCACCAACCTTTTGGTTAACAGCCTGGTGCACTGACCCATCGCACCACCTGAGGGACTCAGGCTAAGATTGTCATAGGGCTAGGAATTGGCTTTCGCCCAGCCAAGAGATGGCTTCATCTCAGCCTGGTCCAGTTTGGGGCTGTGATTAAAAACAGAAGAATAGTGAAAGGCTAACTTTCACACTGGGGGGGAAAAACTCAGTCTACACTACCATCCAAATAACTACACCCTATATAGGGACACTGGAAGCTGTCTTATACTGAGTCAGACTATTTGTCAAATCAGATCGGTATCATGCAATTGCACATCAAGACTGGGTCATGCCCCAAACATGTGTAGGAGGAAAAATCAGTTTTGCCAGTAAATTCCCCCCCCCCCAACATGGTAATAAAGTGTCACGGTACTCCTAACTGCATCCACTGTTTTAATGGGAAGAGTCCTCGTGAGTTATTTCATTACTGCATCAGAAAAAGCTTCACCAGCGAAATTTCTGCCTATTGGGAAGCAAAACACCTCCCAGGTTAATTAAAAGGGGGAGGGGAGAGACAGTTTGGCAACTTCTGTCTGTAGGATGCATTTTACATATTTTCTGCCTGACACAAATAGGTGTTGTATGGTTAGATGATACGTTTAGCTTGCCAGGCTGTTTCACAAGCCCTAACCCCAAATGAAATTTAAATTGTAAGATAGAGAGAGAGATTTTGTTCTTGCGAAATGCAGATCAAGCAAAATCAAGATTATTATATTCTAGATCAGACATAGCCAGCATGGTACCCTTCAGACTACAACTCCCATCATCCCTGGTTAGGGTTGATGGGATTTGGAATCCAGCAAGATCTGGAAGGCAGCACATTGGCTATCCCTGTTCTAGATCTATTGTCACACTGGTTTGACTGGTTGAAAGACCATGCCCTGACTCCCAGGTTCTCTGGGAAGGTCTGAGGTCTGTTGAATCATAGAACTGTTGAGTTGGAAGGGACCTGGTCCAAGGGCCTGTAATGCATGAATCTCAGCTAAAGCATCCATGACAGATGATCATCAAGGGCCATAGCTCAGTTGCAGAATGTCCCAGGTCCAAACTCCAACATCTCCAGGTAGGGAAGAGAATGTCTCCTGTCAAAAACCCAAAAGACCTGCCGCCATTACTAAGCAAGATGGGTTGATGGTATGACTCAGTATAAAGCAGTTCCCTGCATTCCTGGACGGGTGTGAGATGGAAAGCTGAAGGTAGTGTTCTCTGGAATAAGTGGTTGATCTAGTGGCTATATCTAATGGGGCTAGTCTGCTCTGAGTGCAGGGATGTTGTCCTTCCAAGGTGCCACTTACCTCTTCAACAGGTTCAGCTGGCTTCTCACTCCCTCCAACTGCTCCCACTTGGTGGACCTTTCTCCTGCTTCCAGCCCAGGCTCCTGCAAGGCTCTACCATCTGCTTCTTCACGTATCTTCAGGAGCTGATTCAGGAAGGAGGCAAAAGGAGGGGGCTGCCGCCTGGAGAAAATAAGGAAGTAGGGTGGTTATAACACATTGGCCATAAGATGAGGGGAGGATCCCTCACTGTCTCATCAGAACATCAGAATCAGGCCAGTGGCCTGTCTAGTCCAGCCTCCTGTTCACAAACGGCCACCCAGATGTGGCCGGGAATCCCGCAAGCAATACCTAAGTGCATGGGCAAGCCCCATGACTGCAGTTCTCAGCAACTGATATTCAGAAGAACACTGCCTCTGACAGCAGGTATAGCACATAGACATCATGGGGAGCAGCCATTAATAGCCATCAAGTTCCTAACCCTCTTTTAAATCCATTAATGTACCGAGACCACATAACACCGGTCCTG